CTGGGGATGCCAGCTAACGAAAGAGAGCAAGAACAAAATATCCTATTATACAAGAGAATCAAATCTGAAATCTCGCCAATCTCAGACACCAAGCAAAGCCTGCAGTAAACAAAAAGGCCGAGAGACTACCAACTTGCCCATACATCAGTTGATGAAGTTGGGAAGCCATGATGCCATCGGATGATAAGCAACTCCACAAAAATTGAGACATGGCACAATTAAAAATGATATGATCGTTGCTTTCAGCCCCACCACATAAGCATCAAAATTTGCTGCCTTTCCAACCTCTAACCTTTATATTACGCCCAGATCAGGTCACCTCTTAGGGGCCTGTTTGGAAAGGAAGAATATAAAGGGAACCGAGAAAATAAACAAAACAAAGGAATAAGAATTGAGTGTAGGTAGAGAACAGAGGATTGAAAAACACATAAATTTTATCGGAATGGGTGTTTGGAACATAGTGATATAAGAGCATGTTTATTCCTCCATTCTAGTGAACAAAGGCTGCTCATCTCTCCATTCACATATAGGAAAATTTTCCAAGAGGTCAGAGTGGATGTTTTATTTCCTCCATTTCATGAAGAAAAGCAAGGCTTTCCATAGAAAAGGAAAAGTTCATTCCTCCCATCCAAACAGCATGTGATCTAAGTAAAACACAGGAATTTGATTTCTTTGAAATTCCTCTAATCCAAACATACAAAGTTGTTCTTAGAATGTTCAGTTGCTCTACTTCACTGCCCCCAAAAACTCCTGAAACTGAAACATATTTCAGTCCCTCATCATATAGCTTTGCCATCAGAGCATGCGGCTTGGCAGGCATTTTTAAGAGGTCAGGATAATAAACTTTCAGAAAGGTGTCGTCCAGTCCAACAAATGTCCTTCCACATTTAATACCCTTGATTTTGCGCAAACAATTTTAAATTACAGCGTTGGTAGTCTTTGAAAGCAAATCATCTTATTAGGGCTTCCCCAACGGCCCTGTGAAATTGGCAGGCGAGGAGTAGGACTGAAAAGAATAAACAAATCTCTAACCGCACAGTTCACAGGCGAGGAGGGCAGAAACAGTGAAGTTTATGGAAATCCGTTCGAGCTGAGCGACGAGCTTCTCACTGACGTTCAGTTTTCTGCCACCTCTCTCTCCTCCGCGTATGCAAATAGCTAGCTAGGAATTACTAGTTGAAGGCTCTTATGCAAGTTATTGAAAGATGATGTAACTCTATAAAAAATTTGACTTGCACGAAAAAATTTGACTTGCACGAAAGAACCGAAAGAGTATGATTTTGTCAATCTAGTTTCTGCTTAGAGCAACATATAGGTGTACCTATGTTTATATACAGGAGTTAGATGGTGCGCGTATGTATGCATGAGTTTTGATTCGGAAAAAACACATGTTTGGCTTGCACGAAAGAAACGAAAAGGTGTGATTTTATCTATCTAGTTTAATCTATTTTTTAGCTTAGTTTAATCTAATTTCTGCCCTAGAGCAACACGACGGTGAGCAATTTCATCTCCCGTAAGCAACCGCCCGCGCCGACACGGTTCACGTAAACAGAGCGAGCCAAGTGGGCCCGGTTGGGTACGATCCAACGAGAAGCGGAAGCCGCAGCCAGATACCGCATAAACCATCGTCCGCTCTCCCCCTCTCCACGCGGCCGGCCTGACTCGCCGCGAAGCACAGCTCCGTCACCGCCGTCTGCCGTGGGCCGGCGAAGATGATGTCCGGCGGTGGGTACTCCGCCCTCGACGACCCCAAGGCCTCCGGATCCGTCCCGGTATACAACCGCCCTTTCTGCCAGTCTACCTCCTCTCGCGCGGCACACAGCCGGCCTCACTATCTCTCTCTTGCCACACCACGCAGGCGGCCACGGGGACAGATCCGCCGGCCATCAGGTTCGCCGACTCCAACCTCCAGACCTTCCCGCCGTCCGAGGCCAGGGGCAAGATCGCTGGCGCCTACCGCCCGCCCACCGACGCCGACGGTCAGATCTCGCGGCCTCTGCTCCCGTGTTCTTCACGTTTCTCTTCGGATCCGACTCACTGACCTGGCCGCGGTGGCTTTTTCGCGCAGACACCTTCTCGTCCAAGGGCGGAGGAGCCGGAAGCGTTGGCAGAGGTGGCAGTGCCGGGTCGGATGATGCCGCGCAGGGAGGCTGGTTCCGCATGTTCTCCGTGGCGGCGTACAAGCCCTACTTCGATGTTGACACTTCCGACGTCGTCGAGAGGATCTGGGAGTCCGTCTTCCCCTTCCGCGGCACATTTACCGAGAAGACCTCCGAGAACCCTGACCTGTATGCTTTTCAACCAATTCCCCTCTCAGAGAACATAGTATAGCTCAGTTTTGCTGCATTACTGAAACATGTTGCCTTAGGTAGCAGACACGATAGATCATTGTGAGCTTTAGCTAATATGTTGCCCTTCGGTGTGAATGTGGGTGTGTTTGTTTTGGCTGGAAGGTGTTGGTTATGTAGTTTTGCGCATTCACATCTCTGGTTCTGCACACTGATAGCTGGGTTGTTCCAAATACATGGTTTCTCTTTGAGCGGGATCTGTTGGTTTTTGGTTGAACTGATCCTTAGAACAATTATTTTTGTCTACCATTGAAGATTGCTGATATGATTCTTTGAGTTTGTTTTAAGATTTTAAGATGGCTGCAATGTCAGAGCCCTTTCTACGGGAGTTTCTGTAGAGTTTATTCAGCAAATAGCAAGTGTGAACTAGCTATTAGTATTTACACTTGCTATTGGGTTGAAATACAAATTTATGGTATCCTTTTGAAGGAATTATGTTCATTTGCAATCAAATTGTTGTTCCTCAATGTTGTGTATGTTGCCTGTAGTGGATCTACATCAAAGTAGAATATGCCTGTGAAGTTGCATTGAATGCTTCTTTCTGAAAAGAACAATTCGACTATCAACCATTTCAATTTAGGACATATGAACGAGAGTTTAATAACTTTGTAACTAACAATGGGATAACAGTACAGAAAACTTGGTGAATGTGAGTCACCTGGAAGATTTTATATTTGTCTGAATGATTAATTCTTTGTAATTTGCTACTGATCTGCTATGCCTTCTGTTTCATTTTGTATTCTGTAGGTATGGGCCCTTTTGGACATGCACCACCCTGATTTTTGTTGCTGCATCTATTGCTACTTTTGTCACCTACCTATCCCACAAATGGCACAAGAAGGAATGGAACTATGATATCAACTTGGTTACCTGGTCTGCTGGCTTATTCTATGGCTACGTGACATTTGTTCCTCTTCTTTTATATGTTATTCTCAAGTACTTCTCAGCACCTACTGGTCTGGTGCAATTGTGGTGCCTATATGGATACTCTCTGTTCATCTTCATTCCAGCATCGGTAAGGTTCTTACTAAATTGCAGATATACTTAGGAACTACAATTCTATTAGTTTACAATTGTGCCACTATGGCCTATTGTTAAAGTTGCTTGAAATTTAGCCTTTTCTACTGGAAATGTTAACTGAATTCTAATGCCTGTAAAGCATCAGCAAGCTTGAGTTTAAAGATTTTTCACTGATTTTGTATAAAAATAAAAAAAATGAAACCAATTAATTCCAAGGGTCATTACTACCACCATTTAGTCATTTACCAATATAATTTGTTTGCTAGGTACCCTTTTTACTACTCCCTCCATTCCAAATTATAAGGCGTTTTGGCTTTTCTAGATATGTAGCTTTTGCTATGCATTTAGATGTATACTATGTCTAGATGCATAGCAAGAGCAATGTATCTAGAAAAGTCAAAACGTCTTATAATTTAGAACAAAGGGAGTAGTTACATGGTTTTACAAGCCATATAGTTGTGTACTATGTTAGTAGGCTTCATGTATGAATCTAGTGATACTGGTTTCATATGGTCAAATACTTTTCTATGGATCAACTGTCAAAATGAAAAAAAAAACATTTACTATTTTTACTTCCATATAAGCTATATCTGTCATTTACTGATTCTCTGTTGACAAAATACTAGTATATTACCTGTTCAAATGATTTGGAGTATTTGTACACTGCTTTAGCATTTGAAGTTGACTCAAAGTTCTTTCTCCTTTTGTGTGACAGCTTCTGTCTATTGTGCCAATAGAAATATTCAGATGGGTGATTGCTGGTGTTGCTGGTTTCATGTCTGCTACCTTCGTTGCTGTAAATCTCCGTGCGCACATTGTAAATTCTGGCGAGCGATGGTTCCTGATTGTTGCAGGGATATTCTTGTTGCAGTTGGGGCTTGCTGTTTTGCTGAAACTCTATTTCTTCACGATAACTGTATAGGGTTATTTACAACTATGCTTGTACTAGTGAGGAATACACACAATTTTCCATATGGAATCCCTTCCATGTTCATTGAACGTTGATGTTATTTTTCCAAGTATACGTCTTTCTTACACGTAGAATTGAGGGGCCTCTGAAATCGAATTACAGCAGCCAAACAAGTACTGAGACCGATAGGTGTCAAGAGTCTGTCTGTTTTGTAGTCTATTCTGTGTTCCACTGCTTGAGGTGAATAATAATATAATAAATCAGAAATCACTGTGTTTTCCACTCGTCTGAGGTTACATGGCAGTAACCATCCACTTTAGAGCTTTATTATAGGCTCGTTGCTTGCTGGTAAGCTGAAATCTCGGTGAGTGCTGCTTTAATAACGGAATCAAATGTGTGTTATCAAAAAGATGAGGAAGAAACATAATTTGTGAATGGAGAATGGAGTGAATATTGGCATCGTGGTGTAATAGAGCTTGGGCTTGGTAAGGGCACTTTTTAAGAGTATGGGACTGAAATTGAAATGAAATTTAATTCTAATATTCTAACATATACATATAATTGTACCATTCGCTGTTTACAAACGGGGACGCCATCACCCCTTACCCTTCTTGTTGAAATAGCTAGCTAAACACCATATTAGCTCGCACGTTGCCAACGAATCAACAGTCTCTACTTGCCCTCAAGGGCATGCACAACAAAGGAGTGTTCCCATGCTTTTTTTAATTTTTATCAATCTTCTCTCCCTCCACGTCTGCTGGTGGTTTAGCCACGTCCACTGGTGATTTAGCCACGTCGTTGGATAAGCCCTTAGCGCCATTTCCTCGGTTGGCGTGTTCCTGCCACCGGTCCCAAATGGCCTGCCGTAGCTTTGCCAGTCCGACCGCAGCATAGAACGCCGGCTTGGACCGCGGCGCCCCTCCCTGCTCCACCACAGGTGCGGGAAGCGCCACCGGTGACGCCGACGCCGACGCGCCCTGCTTGCCAATTTTTTGCTTGCCCTTCTTACGGGCCACCGACGGCGGCGACGATGGCCCCTTCCAGTCGTCGTCGTCGTCCTCCTCCTCCTCCCTCTTGACGACGCGTCTCCTGTTCTCGTGGTGCAGCAGGAGAAGGCCGAGGGCGCCGTCCGCATCCAAGTGGTGGGATATCCGCTGGACGACCGTGACCTTCTTGCCGTCCTCATCTTTGGTTGTTACCGTGACCACCTTCCCCTCGGCGTCGAGCTGAGGCTGGAACGGCAGCTGGCTCGACCGGAACGCCCACAGCTCCACCTCGACGTCGCGCGTCCAGAGCTTGTGCTTCTGGGAGTCCAGGTTCATGCCGTTCCGGATGAGGAAGTGCTTCCACTCGGAGATGAACCGGTAGCCGTTGTTGGAGTCGAGGAACTTGCAGGTGAGCGCGTACGGGACGCCGTCCCGGTCCAGGGCCGTGACCGCCAGCCCGGCGTGCTTCTTCTTCACGCGCTCCAGCTCGGCGGGCGAGAAGCACCGGGTGATGGGGCAGTCCTCCGTCCCGCTCCCGCGCTTGCACGACACCAGCAGCCGGTTCTGGTTCTCGTCTACGTCGCTCTTGTGGAGGGTCTTGCTGTGCACCAGCCACGGCCGCGTGGCGCCCAGCTCCGCGAGGCGCCGCTTCAGCGCCGAGTTCAGGGCGGGGGACCCGTGCAACGGCAACGGCACGTAGTCGTCCGCCTCGGCGGCGGCGACGGCGGCATGACGGTGCTCATCACGCAACTGCTGGGGGAGGGGGACGAAGCTACGGATCCCATCGTGCATCAGATTCTTCACCGGCGGCTGCGGCGTAACCGTAATCAGGCTGCGGCTGCTCTCTTCCCTGGCTAGCCACTTTCCCTTGCTCAACCGCTTATTCTCTTCGTCGGACTCGGACACGGCGTTGCCTGCTGCGGGCTCCGGCGAAGCTGCTGCTGGCGCTGGGAGTTCCGCTGCCAGTTCCCGTGAAGCTGCAGCTGGCACGGGGCGCCGTTGGCGCGGAACTGGAGCCTCCAAGGCTCCGGTGGTGTCGTTGGTCTTGGCATCAACGACACTGTTATCTGCCATCCGTTTCTTCTTGGACGGTGAAGACGCATAAGGGTCGCCGGCGGAGATTCTGCCACCACCACTGCTATAGTTGGATCCTCTCTTCTTCAGCGGCTCTCGATCTGCAGTGTTCATCGGGATCGTGTTGGAGAAATCTTGGATTCGTTCGGATCGCGAATCACAGTACAAAAGAGCTGAGTTCTGAAAAACTCAGCTATCCGTTTCCAAGCAAAGTTGCTTTCCAAGCAAAGCAACAAAGGATTCTCGTGGATTCTCGTTTTCGTGGTGGGAGCCGACCGTTTTTCAGCGCAAAACGGCAAAGATGAACCAATCCCCAGGGAAGCTAGGGCTCGACAAGAACTACTAACTACTATGCTAAAAGAAAACGTAGATGAAAAAATAATATATATTGTGTATATGTCGATTGATCAGGCAATCGGCCATGCCCCATACAAAATATATATAGGGTGCCTGGTCTACGGCAATAGAGGAGTCCTATACGTATACGTACAAGATTAATTATCCCTTGTACAAGCCTAATAGAATATTCCTATTCCTAACTGATCTAGTCATACGTATATGATATGTCTCAGAGTCCGATTGGAACTTTCCGTGTTAGCCCAGCCAAGGACAAATAACTAATAGATGCAAAATCCTTTTCCGTTCCCTTCCTCTGAGATCTCTCTTGCTTGCTTTCTCCAACATACGTATGCTCCAGTATATCCATCAAAATGATGCCTGATTGCACATGCATATTCTGATCGTACTCCATCACCAGCGCCTACAGCGTGATGTCAAACTGCCACCAGCCAGCACTTGCCAATCCAGAAGAACGTCTTTTTTCTCCTCTTGCATGCTGCTGCTAGACTAGCTAACAAATTCATCAGAATACTTGTCAGCGACCGATTTATTATCTCAAACATTAAATCCGCCAATAGAAATATTGCAGTAGCCTATGAAAAGAACATTGCCAAAAACCAAATTTCACGATAAACCCGGGGCATCCAAATTATGCTATCAACACATGGGTGTCCGTGTTAACCACGACTCGTAATCTATCTGTACTGTCTGTAATCTACCTGCACACGGAGATAGATTTCCAACCGATTTTAGACCCGGCTCCTGCAAGGATTTCAAATGTTTTTTTCTGAGGATTCCAAATGTTGTCACAACAATCAATTCAACGGTGGATGAGACGATTGAGCATCTACTAGTGTCTTGCATCTCTAGGACAGGTTTGGTTTGGCGCTCTGAGAGTCGGATTGGTATGCAGACTCCTGACTCCATCCCGGACACATGGGCCCGGACATTATGTAAACGACAAACAATATCGTTTCATTCTCAACCAAACAATTCATTTATAATTAATAACATGGAAGATTTCAAAAGCATTGCAGAGATGTAATAAGGATCAAACTCATGAAACAAACTTCAAGAGTTGGCCCTCAATACTACACCCATACATGCACCAGTGCTCAAATAAAAGAAGACTGACTGGACGACGACGACCTAAACCTCATATACTTGCCTAATGACAAGCTAGCTAACTTGCTAATTGAAATTACTGAAAACGACACGACAAACCAACTACAACAATTCTTGCACGAACTAGTACCAAGGGAACTTGAGGCCACCAAGATTGCCTCCTGCATGACCACCACCAGAGCTTTCTCCAGCAGAAAAGGACTTCGGCATCACCCCATCAAAGCCGACGTCACTTTGTTGAGGGCTAGACAAACCAAATCTCTCATTGTGTCCACCGCCAACCTGGGTGCCTCCACTCTTATCGATGTTTCCCAACTCAACATTTAGTTCAGGTGATGATAAGTTGCTATAGAACAGTTGATGAGTATGGATTGAAGTTGAGCCAACATTTGCATAGTGTTGAGGTGGCTGCACAGTGTTGTAATTCTGTACACTGAAAGGAAGCTGTTGGGACGACGACCCTAGATGCAGCGGGGATGAAATTTGCGGTGACAACGATAGAGGTGATGAATCATCTGATGGTGGAGTTGTTTGCAACGATGATGGCTGGGGTGTCGTCGATGAAGACAGTATAGGTGATAATGAGAATGGGTGTGAGCTGTTACCATTGATGTCTATCCTACGGATGTGATAGCTGTAAGGGTTGTGGGCTGCTTCCATAGGTGCTGGTGGCGTCTTGGGTGCTTGGAATTGCACACTGGAAGTGGAAGGAGTATGTGGTGCCAGAGGGTAGTAATGTTGCAGCGGATTTTGTGGCACCTGCGGTGATGGAAGGATCACCGAGTTTGGAAGCGAGGAGCCTGACCTTGCTAGCACTGATGCAGATGAGGACGACCATGGATGTTGCTGGAAGCAAGCTTGGAAGGGAGTCCATGGATACTTTGGTGGTGTCGCAACTTGTGGAGGAGGCATGGAACGCCACCAAGTGGGCTGCAGCAGTGATGGATCTCTAAGACGACCACCGGCTTCTACTTTGTTCTCGTGGAGCAAGGTAGGCAAGCGATCATTGATCTCTTGCTTTACTCGTGAGAGCTCGCGATACATGTCAAAGAGCTCAGTGGCATCAAGATCCTCTATGTTACCATAAACATACTTGGCCATCTTTGAGGCCTCCTGGATCTTCTCGTTGGTCCGCGCCATGCTCTCCTTCTTCCTCTTATCCTCCATGGTCTTGTCTTTCTCCAGCTGGAACACCTCATTCTGCAAGTTGGTAATTGAAGCCTTCTCTGCTTCACTGGTATCAAGATCCGTTGGTGCACTCCCTAAAAGGAAAGCATCAAGTATGGGGCTAGCCTCTGGGGTGCCGAAGGAAGAAAACTTCCCATGTTCGGACTCCAACACCATCGCAACCCCTGCGCCGGTGAGGGTGGAGAGATCAGATGCCGCCTTGAACAGCCCAGAGCGCCTCTTGAAGAATGTGAGGCTCCGGTCCCTACCATCCTCGATGAATCTCACTCCTGACCGCCTATCCCTCCTCGGCATCATGGAATGGAGAACTCGAAACTACTACAACCAATATGTGAGCAAGATAAGGAATGTTTTCTTGTGAGTGGGAACAGGTGTGTTTTGGTGAGAACGAAGGCAGCCACTCCTACCCCTTATATAGAAGAAATTTAGGCACAAAACAAAAGAAATCTCATGAGATTTTGAAGGCGTGAAAAACATGTGTATAACTTCTTACCACAAGTCACTGAGCAGTGGGTCATTCTTTTGTGCGTCCAAAATGGGCCCAGTTGTCAATAACCACTAGAAAGCTTGCAAATAAAATTTGTGTAACAAAAGAAAATTCTTTTTAATTGAGCTGGACTATGCATATCTATTTGCCAATGATTAGTCGAATATTTATTATTTTTGGAAACACATAGTGTATTTATTAGCATCCTTAAACTACCACACTACCATTGAAGCAAGTCATGATTAGCAGCCATTTTTAGTCTCCAGCTATGGTTATTCTATCTATACTAATATAAAATATTGCAATATGCCGTGCCTTTCACGTTGGTCAAAACATATCTTAGTATATATTGATCATTAGTTAATAATTCTTTTGAGTCCAATTTTTCGAATTCATTTCTTGCTACAAAACTATATCTCAATCATTGGAATTGATGTGATCTGTCAAACTGCTAGTTGGATGAATAACAACATACTTAAAATACCACTTTGATGACAGCTGAGAGTTATTTTTTTTAAAAAATGTGGGTTGATTCACTACAAAAAAAAATACCCTTATACATGACGGTTTACTTTGGTCACAGACAAGCAAAAATACGTCACAATTAACTCACCATGACGATCGGAAAAAACGTCATGTATCCCGTGTCGTACATTTGTTGGCCCAAATTGAACCGTCATAAATTGACATTTGAGTTCGTCATGGATTAGTTGTCTGTCTATTATACCCAGCCTAGATCCAAACCATAGTGACGAAAAAGAACATCATATATTAGTGCGAAATCATCAATGCATTAACATGCAGCACATCTCATAATACACCAATCATACAAACAAACATTGATTCTTTTATTTCTTGGCATGTCCACTATTGTCACGTATAGTTTGAGGACAATCAATTCACAGCCAAACTAACAAGTACGTCTGAACTAAGATTTCATCTCTAGGGAGTCTAAAATAAACAAACATATGAACTAAGATTTCATCTCTAAGAATTCAATTGGCTTGCTATCCACATGATGTGCTACCAAGCACCTTCAGGAGCTACCTGAAAATCAATGTGAATATGAAATAAGTTAGTTCTGAGTAAAGATTCTAAAAACAAATGCTATCTATTTATCAGGAAACAATCAAAGTCAATTGTTCTAGGATTGCACTAGTCAAGCTCTGTACTAACAAATAAAACTGATGGTTGCAGTACTAGCGTGTGGTAGAAAAACCAACAAGTGACCAACCTGAACAAGAAATCTTTGATTACTCTATGGAGTTGACAATGCTGTGGCAAACCATTTTTCTGCATTCAACATAAAACCATTTTTTATAGCACTAGCATGTAAAAGAATGCAGCTTTGTCAATACCAAATTTCCCATGCAAACCAGCGCACAAGTAGTAATAATTCAGTAGGTGTAATCACACTAAAGATTATATACAATATTATTTACTTCACACTGGTAAATGAAGGTGTAATCACACATTAAAGATGATATACCATTCTGAAAATAGGATGGGACCAACTGCTCTGCACATTCAAGTTAGTCTCCACCAAAATGCTAGTTTGATGAAATAAAGAGGTACACAGTTAAGCGAGAGCCAATCTCCACCATTAACATGTATATACCTTTGTTTATTTGTCAATTTCCAGTCTTTCAGCAAGGTGGTGTTCTCAAAAAGCCTTCAGGTAGCACTTCGACCAAAGATCTTTGAAATTTCCACTTCTACTGCATGGTGGATGTAGGTCTTTATTGCTGAAAAATAGATAATGGATCAGTAGGTTCGTATAGGAAACTGGTAAGATCTTTGGAAATGGAAAGGACACAACAAAATATGACAGCTTCCTGGAGTCATTTTTCAGGAGTCTAAAAGGAGAGAGAACATATAAACAGAACACAATAGTCAATTTCAGTGCATCAGTATAATGGCTAAGGTGAACAATAGCAGTCACATCGAAAATAGATGATGATCAACATAGAGAGCTCAGGCTAAGAAAAAAATTAATACAATCACCCTTGCATATACATATTGGACTGTAATCACCCTTCCAATAGTCAATTTCAGATCAAGCAGGGAACCTTCAGATTCGCCGCGACTGGGACGGCCACACCTGGGCGGCGCCTGCCCGTGCCAGGGCTTTGCCCGCCCGTGTTGGGGAACGGCGCATCGCCGGCCCAACTGTGCCTTCCCGTGCCGGGGAGGGGCGCACCGCCGTTGGTGCTGTGTGGTCCGGCCGCGTAGGGGAGGCGTGCGAACCCGCCGCGCTCTGCGTGCCCACGCCGGGGAAGGGCACGTCTCCGCCCCTGCTATGCCTACCCGCGCCCGGGAGGGGCCGGGCGCGCCGCCGCGGCCGCTATGCCCTCCCGCATTGGGGAGGGGCGCGCTGCCGCCGTTGCCGCGCGGCCCGCCAGCGCAGGGGAGGTGCCCGCGCAGGGGAGGCATGAGATGGCGGCAGATGGGGTGGGGGGGAAGGGGGGACGCGGTAGATGGATATGCGTAGACTTCGGAAGGAAGGCTGGTGGATTAGGTTTAGAAATGTTGTTTTCTTTTTTATTTTTTATTACAAACCGTCACAGTTTAGAGCGTTCTATCACCTCATATACAAACCATCACAGATAAGGACTTTCTATGACAATTTCTTATAATGTCATCTCTAAACCATCATGTATAAGGGTATTTCTTATAGTGATTGCTTACTGTATAAGTAAATGTTTGTTTTAACTTTTTGTTGGCTTCTGCCAGCCAGAAATTGACACAATCGGTTCTGGTTTTTCAAAGGTTGGAAAGCCAGTTTTTACTGAGAAACTAAAAATTTATTATAAAAGTCAAGGACAAAAAGCCAACAACCAGAAGCTAAAGGACAAAAAGTCAGCTTTTGAGCCAAAAGCCCAAAAGTTGCAGCTCAAACAAGTAGTTCCTAAATATGTTAACATGAGAAACAAGCAGTGTTCTACCACAAGTGCGTAGTCGATCCATAACGTTTCACATAAAGGATTCCAGTTTTACTGAATTTATATTGAAATTGATAGTACCATTATAATTATAGTTACTGTAGTCAATATCGTTGAGTTCTTTCGCCATCCTACTAGGTTGGTTGGCACCATTCACCATTAAGATATTTCATCAAGTCATGATTGCTATCACAACAACAAACTAACAATTTTGAAGAGTTGATGGACTTCCACAAACTATGTTGACACTATTTGATTACTGTTACAAATCTCATTCTTAGATCCCCCTTCTCATCCCTACAAACCATAAGGGAACTGTGTATTTATGTCATATTTCTCCTACACCCCTCCCTTCTCTTGATACCATAGAAATAACTTAATGACTGTTTGGGGAGCTCAAGCTTCATGGCTCATGTAGATTTAGAGTTTGTAGCCTAAAATAAATTGTTACATGCATCCAAATGTTCTCAGTGGACCAATTTTAATTCTAACTCCACAAATTTTGAAGATGATGATGTTATAAATAGGCCCTTATAGCAACAATGAGGAGCTACTATCACCTTGTGGAGTTTGAGCCACCCAATCCATCTAATTTTGACCTCAACGTTGACATTAATCTTCCAATGCATAGATAGTGAAAAATAATAGTGTGGTCTAGTTTTTCTTTAGATTGACATAAGATCAAAAGATAATAATTAATGTGATCCGAATAACCTCACCCACCAAGCTAGTAGCAATGTCACCAAGATGATTTTAATATTCTTTCTAAAATTGTCTGAGAGTATTTAGTTTGTTTTCAATTTAGAGAATGAAAACGTGTTTTTTTTATATTTAAAAAAAATATTTAATGTAATTTTTTTGCTTACATTCATGCCTTTGCATTAGCTTTATGGTGTATAAATGAATTTATAAAATTCGATCAAGCCACGAACAGGTTTTATTCTATTTTCAAGAATAAAACTTCACAATTTTGTTTCAAACACTAGCTCTAAAAGTGCAAGATTTAGTTTGAGAAAGTCTTGAAACCATTTTAAAATATGTTTACAAAAGGGTCTAATTTCCCAAAATAGTTTAAAACATATTCCAAAATATAAGCTCAAATATGTTTTAGTTAGATTTAAAATGTTTCAAAAATTATTTGTTATACCTTTCAAAATTCAAGACTTGACTGAAAATAGTTTCAAAATGGCCATTTAAAAATAGAGCATAAAAAGATGTCAGATGAGATATTTTAAATGATTTATCAAAATATAGTTTAAAGCGGTTTTTAAAATAGAGTTAAAAAGGTTTTCCTAAATATGTTTGAAAAAAAAATCAAAATTTGAAATATGTTTTGAAAGACTAAGCTGGTGCCTATAGCAGGGGTGAATAGGTAAGCAATTAAAAACTAATTTGCAATAGTCCGCCAAAATCGGTCTAGCCGATTTCACTGACTGCCCTGCCAAAATTCTGTTAGGAGACCTGCACAAGTGTTGTCACAGTTACCAAAACTAAACCTAGGCTTTTACTTATAATAAAGGAGGAAATAAGAACCTAAACTACTGTAAGTGTCTCTCCACACTAAATGATACTTAGAACTAGTTCGTCCTTAGTCGCCACGCGTATCCTTTGAAAACTATAATTAGGGGCATGAAAAATATAAGAGCACAATCAACATCCATCATTGTGACCTCACTAAGTAATGCCACTGCAAAACAAACATTAGTGCCAATGATTGTATCATCAATAATCGCCAAAACCAAATTAGAGGTCTAGATGCTTTCAGCTACTATTTTGCAAAGTGACCTAGGTTGTTCTATTCAAGTGCGTAGGTTATTGACTTGTGCATAAGTTAAGCATACTCAGGTCCAACAGCTAGTTTTTCCAGT